CACTTCGTGGCTGCTTTGTGGTAGAGGTTTTGTCCTGCTGTTTAGTTATCGTGCCAGGTTCGTACCAAGGCCATCATTCTTCTCTACGGTCTATAAACTTCTTAATAACACGTCCCAACCGTAGGGATCTCCCATTTTGCTCGGACTAAGAGTTAAGAAACAAGTTAGGTAGCTCCTAGAGAAGAATATTTATGTTGCCATAAACCAGTGCTGCTGCTCAAGGAGATCCTACCCTATTTCTTTTCCCAAGCGTTCCGGTCACTATTTAATGAACCAGAGGAGGAACTTACCGTCGGTTGAAACTAATTTAGAAGACAAAGTGTTTGCTGCCTCAGAGTGCTCGTGGGACTTCAGGCTCGCACATAAAAACGGAGGAGAATATTAAAAGATGTTAGAAATGCGGTCACTTCCCTATTGGGTGTTCTTGTGCCTTTCGCAAGGGATGCAGCCGACTGCTTTTAAGGGAATTTTTGCGTAAGGGCTTGTCCGTAAAGAGAATTAAGTGTGTGGTTACTGTGTGGTGGAGTAGGTGGTGAGTTGACCGTGTAGTAACTCCTGCCCGTGTAGTAACTCCTTGCACGTGCCTCTGGTGCAACTCCCTCCGGCACCGACAGCGGCGGGAGCCGAACGTCGTGGGAACTGTCCTGTGTTTGCCGTAAGCTCTTTGCGCAGGGTGCCGGGAGCTCCCGCGCCTCGGCTTTGTGCGGGTTGCTGCGAGCTGCCGGCCCCTGGTCCAACGGCTGATTAATGATCCCCCTGCTCTGTGCCTGGTGTCACTGGGCGGTGCAGTGGTAGCACACAGCGGTCATTTTGGTCGGGAGCGAAACATGCGGAAGAAGGAACTGTTGGCAGAACTGTTTGCCCCGTGTATCTTAAGAGTCACTTTTCTTTTTCCTCTTCCAGCTGCCGAAACAAGTTATCATGGAAAAATGTTCGAGTAGCGTGACTGGGCAGAGCTGTTTGTGTGGGTGCGGATTGCCAGCAGCCTTTGCACCCCAAAATGTCACTTCTTGTTCCCTTCCTGCCGATTCCCCGCGGCACGAGGGCTGCTCTGTGCTCTCCCCTTCTTCCTGAAGAAGGAGAGGAGATGTAGGTTTGCAGTGCCCAGCAGCACCAGGGGCTCTGCCTACACCCGCCATGGCCAGCACTCCCCATCTGCTCCGGGTTTTTTTTTTATTTTGTAATCATTTTTTGAATAACGAGTTCCCCTTTTCCTCCCTCCGGACACAGGGCTTTCTCACCTGTGTTTTCAATTTTCATTTCCGTTTTGGGTAGGTGAGTGTTCAGCTGTGAGCAGGGGAAGCAAATTTTGGTGCAAGGGGGGTTCTGCTTCGATGGGAAGGGCTCAGTGAGTCCCTGCACTCAGGTCTTTCACCTGGGCTGGGCTTTGAAAGTCCCAGCTCTTCTCACCGGGTGATGGGGTTTCCATGTGTTCATGCTTTTTTTTTCCTCTTCTGTTTCAGTTGTCTGCCTTCCCCAGATTTGTTCTCGGGAACTCTGCAGTGGGTGGAAGTGTGGAAGGGGTGCCGGGGAGGCGCGGGGCAGAGCCTGCCCTCCGGGGCCGTGCCGGCCTTCACAAATAGGCTCAACTCTGCCAAGAGCCCCGTCCTTGTATTTACAGTGACTCATGCTTGCTGACTCGTGGCTTCTTCCTATAAAAAGCCTATATTTTTGAATATCTAGCAGATGGCACCGTGGTTTAATTACGCTGGATGCTTCCAAAAGGTTTTTCTTTTATAATAACATTATACAAGTGTTGGTAGCGCTGCGCAGTGTCCTGGAGTTTTCTCCACTACTCTAAAGGTTTGGGAGAGCTACTCTGTGACTTTCACAGAATCACAGGATGTTGGGGGTTGGAAGGGACCTCAAAGGATCATCCAGTCCAGCCCCCCTGCCAGAGCAGGGGCACCTACAGGAGATCCCACAGGAACGCGTCCAGGCGGGGTTTGAAAGTCTCCAGAGAAGGAGACTCCACACCCTCCCTGGGCAGCCTGGGCCAGGGCTGTCACCCTGGCTTGGTTTAGAAGACAGGGGAAAGCCTCCCTTGGAATGGGGAATGTAAACCCCCCCCACCTCCGAATTGCTGTACTTTTGAAATTATGGGGCTTTCAGACAAAGATATGGGGATAGAAATACCAGTTCTTGACTAAGAATATTGCAAACTATGAAGGTAATGGCACAGAGAAAAGAACAACAACAAACAAATAGTCCCAGAAGCTCTGACAAAGTCAGAATACGACCTGACTTGGGAAAAAAGTCCTACTAAATCCAAATTAAAGTCCTCCTGGAGTGGCAGATGCGGCTCCGTTGGAGTGCGGATAATCCGGTAGAGGGGTCCGGTGGCGACAGGGCAGAGTCCAGTCCTCCTAAGGCGAAAAATGGCCTGGCTCCCCCAGGCGCTTCCACGAGCCACGTGGGGGTCCCGCTCCGGCAACACCACCCGCACCCCCTAGGGCAGGGCCGAGGTTCCCCTCGTCGGGGCTTTGGGCCTGGGGTGGCTCCCCCTGACTGCCCCCATCATTAACCCATGATCACCCATTGACAGAAAGCACCTGCCCCCCGGAGTTACAAGAAATAAAAATATCTTCCAGCTGGTTTCAACAGATGAAAATAGAATTTTACACAGTTTTGGTTACATATTGTAACCCAAGACACACCCTCACAGGGAAAAAGTTTTTCTAATATTTTTATGGAACCTTCTATGTTCCAGCTTGTACCTGCTGCCCCTTGTCCTGTCCCTGGCCATCCCTGAGCAGAGCCTGGCTCCGTCCTCCTGACACTCCCCCTTTCCATATTGATAACCAGGAGTGAGGTCACCCCTCAGGCTCCTCTTCTCCAGCTGCAGAGCCCCAGCTCCCTCAGCCTTTCCTCCTCAGGGAGATGTTCCATCCCTCCATCATCCCTGGGGCTGCGCTGGACTCTCTCCAGCAGTTCCCTGTCCTGCTGGAGCTGAGGGGCCCAGAACTGGACACGACATTCCAGATGTGGCCTCGCCAGGGCAGAGCCGAGGGGCAGGAGAACCTCTCTCGACCTACCAGCTCCTCCCCTTCTAACCCAGCCTGGTGCTTGCTGGGGAACTGGCAGAAAAGCCAGCCTAGAGATGTGGTTGTTAATGTTGTCTTCATATGACTTGAAAGGGCAATAAATAAATAGAGAATGGATTTGAAATGTTTTGTTGAGTTTGTGAAAAGAGCTGGGAAGAGAAGTGAGATTTCTAGAGGTGTTAACACAAATCACAGCAAGTGCTGATCAAGGGCACGCAAAATTCCTTCCCACTTCTTGCATTTTTACCATTCGTCATTTCTTCGAAGACTAACACTCCAGCGAAGATTTTTTTATTTTTATTTTTTCTTCTATGGTGACCGGGGATTTCATTGTTTGAAACAAACTGCTGGTGCTTCTTTAAGCTGGGATTCCAAGCAGTAGGGACTCGTTAGAGAGATCTGATTAAAAACAAACAAGCAAAAGGTGCAGAACAAACGCTTCGATCCAGCCAGGTTTTGAATACTCTGCTCGCTCCCGTGCCGTGCAAGCTGAGGTTTAATTCTCTGAGTTGACTCTGATAGAATTGCGCGTGTGTATAAAGTGTTTTGTGCTTCCTTTTGTTACTGCCAAGTGCTCGGCACCCACCGGGGTTAAGACCTTTGATCTTGTTCCTTTTAATATATTGTGGTGGTTTAAAGTTATGAAATGTGTCAATTTTCAGGAAAGCCAAGGGGACGTGCTACCTTCCTTCTACATGTGATGCTACAGAAATAATACAAATGGAATAACAGAGAAAGGCAGGTCTGGTTTACAGCTGCCTGGGAATTTCTGATAGCAAAAGGATGTCTCCTTTTGGGTACCAGGCTGGTGTTTATGTATTTATTGAAAGAGTTTGTGTATTAAACTTGTGACTGCAAACCAAACTTCTGAAATAGCCTGAGCGTTTTCGTCGAACTGGTTTTTTACCAAGTCACTGTGTTCACCTGAAAAGAGAGGCATTCAATTTGAACAATAAATAGCGGCTGGGTGGATTCCGGTGAAATATTGAGTGGATTCACATGGATACTCATGTGCTGTGTAGCTCAGTAAAAGAAAGAACATCTCAGTGATGTCTGGTTTAGAGCAAACACACCCGCTGTCCTGGCTTGGTACCAAGTAACTGTACTGGACTGTAATCCTCAATTTTGACCATAATTCGTGGGTTTAAATGTTTTGAAAACGTGTGTGCATCGAGTAATGCAAACACTTGCAGAAAATAACATTGCACGCAAAGTAGAGGAACGAAAACAGCTGCCAAGCTCATTTCTTAAAGCTTTTTCCAACCAATGGCAAATGAGAAAGCTCACGTCCTCGGGCCTGTCGAGGTCCATTGATAATTATCGGTTACGTGTTTTCAAAAAGTCGCACTACGCTGATGGACTTGATGTTCTACAGATTTGCCGCTTGGTGGTGCCAGGGGGGTTTCTAAACCAGACGGAGCTCAAGTGAGGTGTTGAAGCTGCCTCTGAGGAGCTCACGGTGAGACAGAACCCCCGTCTGGTTGGAAAACTTTGAGTCCCTCTGTCCCTCCAGTACAAAAGAGAGTAAGTATAGAGGAAAAAGAAATAAAATCACACGTTTCTGAAGATGGAGTTTCTGGAATGTCTGTCCCAAAGCACCCAGCCAGGCGAAAGCCGTTTGGATTCGGCGGTGTCCTGGGGTGCCTTTGGGGTTCCTGTCCATTTGCTTTAATGCTGCCAAAATTGTTACGTGTTGATCGTTGGGGTCTTTTCCCTCGAGGTTAAGGCAGGGCAGTGATCATCAGGAACCCAACGCTAAACAAAACGCCCCATGTGATTGAATTCACCTCATCTCGCGGTCGCGGGGCTGCTCCTCCGCAGCCTTTACGTTCCTCTGTTTTATTAATGTCATCATGTTCTGCTGTTACCAGTGTTTAGCATTAAAGTGTATTTGCACCAGGCATCATAACTTAGCCTTTTCTTTTCTTTTTTTCTCTCTCTCTCTCCACACTGCAGTTCCAAAAGAATTGGTGGAGCTTCACTTGAAACTGATGAGAAAGATTGGGAAGTCTGTCACGGCAGACAGATGGGAAAAATATTTGATCAAGGTACAATCTGCGCGTCGTGCTGTCCTGCGATGCCGTGGTACGGTTGCGGTGAGCTGTTGGGTAGGAATTACCGGGAGCCTGGGGCTGCGTCACGCCCAGACCTCAGTCGTGTAAGATCCCAGCTTAACTTTCGCTGTGCCCAGGCTTGTGTGCGAAACAGTAAAATCAAATCTCTGAAAACAGCCAATATCTTCTGCATATAAAATTATTTACACCTTTGTACCCGCTAGGAAAACACTTTTGCTCATCGTTAAGACCCTAAATGAAGACGATTTAGTAGCCCGCGCACGGGTTAAGCTGGACAGTGGGTTTTACCCAGTAACCGTTTGTGTAGCAGTTGTCTGGGCATGATTTAATTACTGGGATTGGGTTTGTTTTCATACAGGGACTAACCATGCAGAGTTCTTGCAGCACGTGCTAGTAACAAATTAAAATATTGCAGTGATTTCCACCTGCCCATTCAGCCGAGGTGAAAATGTAGTTATGCACCAGTAAAACTAGAGCATCCCCCTGTTTCACGTAGGTCTTTATTGACGTTTGAACTGTGGCTCTGCCATTGTTGGCACCTCACGTGCAAGTAGTTTCCAGTTTAAGGAATTTGCATTGCCTCACAAAAATAAATCCATGGATATTAAAAAATGAGTAGGTCACCATCTCCCCCCTGGATATGTTCTGTGTGTCTTTTAATCCACACAACTGTAGTCTTGGGATTGTCTGTACAAACCCAATCCCATCTGTGTTAGAAAAGCAGCGCTGTGGTGGCAGCGGGGGTACAGAGCGGGGCACTGGGCTAACCCAGCTGTGCTGGCTGTAAGTTTTAGAGGCTCGAGGTTTGTGCGGTCTTAAGATGATGTTTTTAGGGCTGTGAGTATGTCAGGAGTAACCTCCTGGCGGGCCTGTGGTTAAATCTAAGCGCTTCACCACTTGTGAAGTATTTATGCTTATGTTTTCAAAGAACGTGTCCCTTCTGTGTGCTTTCTGGGCTGTCGAGCGCTGTGGCTGCTGAACTGTGTTACATTCCTTTCTGTACCCACGAGCCGTGGCAGCAAGCTGAGAGCACCCGGCTCTGCCCAGTGAACTTGTGCGGTAAGCAGAAAGCCCAGAGACAAAACGAGCTTGGGAGGGAGCAGTTTGGAAAAATGTCCCTTCGGCAGGCGCTGAAAGGATGGGAAAGCGGAAAGGAGACCCTCCCACACGCCCTTTTTATAAGACCAAGTAAGCAGGAATAAATTCTCCTCCGTTTCAGTCTCCAGAGCTAACTTGAAGCGGCTTCTAGCCCGTGGTTCAAAGGAACCTTGAAAGAACAAAGGAATTGGAATATAACTAATCAGAGAGCTATGCTAATATTGGCCCTGTTTTAAAGGGCTGTAATGAATTTCGGAAAACCAACGAAAAGCGCTGGGAAATACCACAGAAAGCCGGTAAAAAGGTGTGGAACTGTTGGGATCCTTCTTCCTAGATGGCTGCAGGGTTGTTCCACACGTTGTCAACGTGCTCTGAGAGGCAACGTTGGCCTGTTTTGCCGACGTTAGAGAGCCCGGATGTGTTGCTTTGACGAAATGGGGTTTGAGACAGTTTAGGTGTGACCATTTCCTTATTTAGGAGGAAACTCAAAGTAAAGGACATCCAGACTTACGTGCTCTTAATATATGTGTGCCTAAATATTAATATGTTTTGCTTATATAGCAACTGTGTATCAGATATCCTTTATTTGGCTGCTGGGCTTATAAAGAGCATCATGAGAAAATTGTCTCTAAGCTGTGGCTGGTATTGTGAGAGACAGATATATTCTAGGATAGGAAGTGGACATTGACAGTTGAGGGTTCCTTTCCTTTTCTGCTGGTGAACCACCCACGCTGGCTCAGCGGCGTGCACACTGTTTGGGAAGAAAACAGCTACAGGAATTTCACTTTTCTTCTCTGCTCAAGGAATGTACGTGGTCGTGTGTGACTGAGGCAGAAACTCACTTGTCCGAAGCATTTTGACAATTAAAAGGAACCATCAGGTTTAGCTGTTTTCTGAGCACTGCCTGGATGCGTTAATTCAGCTTGCTCTGTCTCCTGGCAAAATGCTTTTCCTTGACTATTGTCAAACATATTTTGCATTTTTACACAGATAAGATTTCTCTGGACTGGTCCGTCTGAAACCTTCAGCCCCGAAATCGGCGCGTTCTGACCACACTTGTCTTTTCCTATTGTTAGAGTTCAGGTGTCTGCAGCACCACCCAAGCAGACTCCTCTTCTCACCTTCCAGTTTTCATTGTTTAAAATGAACGTTTGGAGCGTGGTAATAGTAAGTGTCAGATGCCATCGTAGCTGCTTTGGAAATATTTGAGGGAGAATACGTTGCGGTGTCTGTTCGCAGGGCGGGCGGGTGCTGACCGCTCTGGGGCGCGCAGAAGCTGAAGCCGGCGGCTCCCGCCAGCGGCGGGTTTTTGATCACCGCCAAACGTCCCCTCTGCGAAAGGCAGAGATTTGACATCTTGGCAGAGCCTGAATCAACGAGATCTGTAGTTCAGGGTTTTGACAGCGCTTGTCAGGAGGAAGCACGATCGTCTGGTTTTTAATTGTCAAAACGTAGTCGTTTCGGCTGGAACAGATGCCTTGTCGGCTCGGATGTCTCCGAGCTTTTGCTTTGACAATCGTACGCTTCCCCAGCGCGTGAAGCTTCTCGTTACGGCTTTCATACTTAATGAGTAAGTGACGAACAGCGACAGGCACGTGCCCCTAGCGAGGGGTTTGATTTACGCTCTCTCCGCGTTCTTCACATTGAAAATGAGAGAGAAAGCAGAGAACCTCAGGGGTTTTTTGAGTGAGCAGCGCTCATCTCGCTGTGAGCTTTGGCCTCGCATCAGAGAAGTACCCGTGGAATGTTCCTTAACCTCGGGGCAGGAAAAGCTGCTCTCTGGCAGGATTCCTGGTGACCAGAGAGCGCTCCCTTCACTGTAGGCCGTAGCTGAAAGTCAGAGGAGGATTCCTGGCCTGGCTGAGCTGATCTAACCACAGGCTTGTCCTTGGGCAGGCAGCGCGGCCCCTCTCTTGGGTGGAGCCCCCCTGGAGTTGTACAACGTGAGTCGGCTGATCTGTGCTGCCGACGGGCGAGGTTTGGGGTTAGATCTCTGCTCTTTCCAGAGGAAGCTGCTTTGGGGGTCACTGTGCAGGTTTCTCCGTAGCCCAGTGACCAGGAGTGGTGTTTGATAACGACGGGGTGATTGGGAGGCTCCGCTGACCCTTCGGATGGATCCCAGCCGGAGATGCGGCGGTGATGAGCTCTCTCCTCCTTCGAATGGGATCTCTCACCCACTGGAGATCCCGCCGTGTGTCCTCAGTGGATCAGCAGCTCTGCTCAGGAGTTGTCTTAAACAGGTCCGAGTTGTTTGAGAGGAGGGGGAATTCCTTCACCATCATTATTGGAGCTCCCACTGATTCAATCTGTTAATCCTCTACTGCTGCTTTGGGTTTTGGGGGGTTTTTTTTGTGCCACTGAATTTATTTGCTTTAACTAAATTGGAATTGGCTATACTTAGAATACTTAAAAACATTTATCAAGCAGCTTGAAGCCTGAGATTTTCTACAGAGTAATAATTCCACGGCGTGGAGTGAGCATGGATTGCGTTTGCTCTCTGTAGTAGGGTTGTTGGACTTTGGGGGCCCCAGGAGAGCTCGGTGTGTAAGGAGACGTGTAGTAAGAAATGACGCCTCCTCTAGAGAATTTGTATTTTAAATAGACAAGTCAGAAAACTGGGAGATGCCGCCCAGCAGAGACAAGAATACCTTCTCAGGTCAGAGTTGTACGGCCTGGTTTGAAGAGGTTGAGAGAAGTTGATGGTGACGAGGGCCTCACTGATCGTCTCTTCGCCAGAGACGTGCCGGTGCTTGCCAACCCACCCCAACTTTCTGTTTTTATTGTTGTGTGAGGCTTTCCAACCTGCAGAGCTCACGTCTAATTATTACTGCGGCGAGGTGCTGTTAATGTAAAAGCTTAACGTTGCTTTTATCCGCTAACCCTCGCAATCTTACTCCCTTGTTTGTGACAGATATGCCAAGAATTCAACAGCACTTGGGCGTGGGAGATGGAGAAGAAAGGCTACCTGGAAATGAGCGTGGAGTGCAAACTGGGGATTCTGAAGGTACACATCCCTCACCTTAAGTTCCTCAATGAGTTTCTCCTTGCTCGCTGAAATATCTGAGAGATTTTGACTTTGGGCTCACTTGAACATCTTCCAAGTTTAACTGGACTGAACCTTCTCCAGCCTCAACAGTTCTGTGATTCTGTGAACCCTGAGTAGATCGGTGAGATGTAGGGCTGATCTTACAACAACCGTGATACTCCTTGTAGTGGGGTGGTCCCAACGTGAGTGTGGCACTTCACAGGGTTCTCACACTCTGTGTGGGACTTTATGTGCAGATTCTTTTGTGCTTGTGCTCTTTGCCTGTGCAGTCCCCTTCTGTAGATGTTTGTCAGCGCGCTGAATTCCAAAGGCAGAGTTGCAACATCGTCTTCTCAAGTCCTGAGAAAACTGTCGAGATTGATTGTGTCTTATGGATGTGTTTTATTACAGAATGAGATCACTGATACTGTGTAAGAAAGATTGAAATTAATTTTTCTAGACTGGCCAGGAAAAACCCAAATGAACAAATCTTGTCTCTTATTTAAAAACAACGTGGTCTGGGAAAAAATGCCGATAGCCACAGCTAACTCGTAGATCCAATGGAGCAGCCCAAAGAGTTCTACGTTACACTGAAAGGACTTTCCGTGTGGTTGTATTTCGCTATTTGAACAGTTTTTCTACTTTCTTCTTTTTCCAGTATCTCTGTGAATGCCAGTTTGATGACAATCTGAAGTTTAAGAATATAATTAACGAGGAGGATGCGGATGCCATGCGTCTGCAGCCCATAGGGCGAGACAAGGACGGGCTCATGTACTGGTACCAGCTGGATCAAGAGCATAATGTCAGGATGTACATAGAGGAACAGGACGACCAGGATGGATCCACGTGGAAGTGCATTGTTAGGTATTCCTTTGCTTTTTTTTGCTAGCTTGTAGGGGTTTGGTGACCAGGCTTAGAAATTTATTTCAATAAATCTCCATTTCACACCAAGTAGGATTCATGCCAGTGGGATTTTCTGCCGTCGTGTGTATGTTTTAGTGAAAAACCATGGACAGAAGTAACTCACTAATTTGTTGGCAATAGCCAACGTGTAGTTGGTTTTCGGCTCAATCCAGCTACACGGGATATGTGGGAAGGGTACCGAGAGAAGACTCTCTTGAGGACAATGACTCCGTATTGCTTGCTGGCCAGCTGAATGCCTTGGGAAATGGAGGAGGACTTGTACTTCTTCAACTCCTTCTCTCTTAAGAAAATCACAAGGGGACAGGTTTGTTCTTGGGGGAATTAGCTTGCAATTTTAACTTCGTGGAAGTACAAAACCGTTGAGAGCATAAATAGGCACAAAAACTCTTCTGGAGCAGAATTCAGCTCGTGGATCCCCGAAGATGGGGAGCGTGCCGTTGGTGCTGACTGACGTGTGCACGGCTCGGTGCTGCTGCCTCTCAGTGGCTGTGGATTGGTCTCTTAATATTTTAATGACATTGCAGCTTCAGGGGTTTGTGCTGATTGCTGTTACGTATTTTGTTTTTCACCGTCTTACTCTGTGCAAAGTGTACGAGTTCGTTCTTACTGGAAAAAGCATTAGCTTGACATTTGTTTCCTATCTACCTGTTACCTGGCTTTAGTTTGCCACCACATAAACTTCTTTTTTCTTCAATTTGATTAGCTTCAAGTGGATTTTAAACTGGGCTGAGCACCGTCAACTCTGACTTGAAAAGAACAGAGATGTAGAACACTTTCGGAGGACTTGTCAGTGTTGGGTTAATGGTTGGAGTCAATGATCTTAAAGGTCTTTTCCAATCTGGGCGATGCTGTGGGGTTTTTTGTAAGTTTTCACTCTAATATCTGCAGCTCGTTTACATATCCATAGCTTCAGGAGTCACACAGAACTTGTTGAAACCACTGTCAACAACCCATAAACCAGGAAGTGTTAGTGCCAGCGAAATGGAGACAGCTGGTGCGGGCAAACAGAAGAAACGTATGGACATAAGTCAGTCGAGAGCTGCGCGGGGCTCGTCTTGCTTCGCGGGTTTTAGGTTCCCAAGATCAATGCCAGAAGTGGAAGAAACCAGGGTTCATCCTTTACGTGTGAAGGAGGTTTTATACCTCAGTTAAGGAGTTACAGCGTGCTGAGATTCACGCAAACATTTTCTTGCTCTCGTAGCTTGAGCAGCTGGAGTTTCTGGACCCCTTTGTGGTGTTGGCCACCTGCTTAGGATGGGTGGTATCGAAACCAGTTTATGAAAACTTCCCTCGAAGGATGTAGCTGCTTCTTTGGTACCTGGGCAGAAACCTCCAGCTCCCTCTCCACTGAGAGAAAGAAGAAATTGCCAAGGAAAATCAGCACGAGTTGGGAAGAGGATAATAAATAAAAGGATGATAACAGCAACTTGGAGGCAGACCCAGCGGGATTGGAGTGGAGAGAGATGGGGTCCTGCCCGAAAAGTGCTTTGATTTGGGTGGGGGTTTGCCAGGGCTGGGTTCATGTAAGCAGATGGTGTTTGTTTGACTTATTTTTTTAAAAATTTTTTTGGAATCCATTCGGGATAAGTGTCTCTTATCAGACGGGATGTTTTGTCTTCTGTCCTCGTCTAGAAACCGCAACGAGCTCGCCGAGACCCTCGAGCTCTTGAAAGCGCAAATTGATCCCGCTCTGTTGAAACCCAGCAGCTCTCAGCAGGAGAATTCATCGCGGGAGAGCCCCAGCATAGAAGATGAAGACACCAAAAAGGGCGAAGAAGCACCTACACAAGGTTTTCTGCCTTCTTTTCTCAAATTTTAAATGTCGTGCTCTGGCAGTGTTAGAATTTTCGACTTTGTGAAAAGTTAGCTTGGTAGATTTTTTTTAAAAACCCGCTAACACGAATGTTTCTGTGCAAAGTAAATCAAGTAAATCTTGACTACTCTGAAACAATAAATATTTCTGGTGGTTTTTTAGTGCATATTTAGCCTCAAGAGTTTATAAGAACAGAGCTGTCTATTTTTCCAAGTAATCTATTTTTTATTTATATTATACATTTTGTATAATACTGTAAATGCTCAGCATTGTGTATTTTGGGGCGTGTTGAACTGTTGCCACGCTTTTCCTGTTCTAGCAACATTAAAATTTTAAAAAGAAGACAAAAATCTGCCTGTGCAATGCCGTGATTGAAATCGATACAATATCGGGTGGGATGTTTATTCTTACTTTTGAGTTTGGATCCAAACCCCACAGGTTTATTTCCTCGAACATTTCACAATCAACATGATTTTTTTCAAGAAGACAATTTAAAATACTAAAGTGTTTTAGAAGTGATCCTAAGCTGCCTGTTAGGAGCAAAAATCTTTTTTTTCTTTATTATCACGTCGTTGCACGTGTTTAATAACTCGCCCGACTTGTTGGCTTGTGCGTTGGTTTTACCAACTATCAGCCTCAGGTGTTTTACGTTACAAGAACTTGATCTTTTTTTTCAGGCTGTGAAAAGCTAAAAACTTGTTATCCCAAGTAATTTTACCCCAGGTACTACCTGGTATTTATAATTTTACTGAAGTACAGGAAAATACTCTCACAATCGGAAGTGAGATTTGAGGATTGCAGCGTGTTCCTTCCTGTCTGCGGGAGCTGCAGTGAATTGGGACAAAGCCCAGCAGAATTCTCTGGGACCTGCGTGGTTCCCGACCCCGCAGGATTAATTCCAAGCACCAGGCTGGCCTTTCTCTCACTGAGGAGTGAGACACGGTGTTTGCAGAGAATGTTTAGCAGTGTGGTGAGAGGTGATTTATAGACATAAATATATACATAGTAAAAATAGATATAGTTTGGTGATAGGTGCTTTATAGGCATAAATATATACATATTTTAAATATATACTTGTATTTTTATATATCTACTTATATATAAATATATACTAAGCTGGTGAAGCCAACTCAAACCATTGAATTAAGATCTCGAATTCAAGCAAGGTTTTAATTTATGTTGGATTTAGAAGCCATTTGAAAACGTTTTGATGCCTGTTCCCCGACTGCTGGCACGCTCACGGGGCTCAGCGCTCGCGTTGGTGCGAGATCTCCCCTCGTGTGTGCGGTGAATAAGGACACGATTTCCTGTTTGCTCTGGCCGCTTCCCTGACCAAAATTAAATTAGCTCATACGAAACAGAGGTAAAGCGAGCCCGTAGTTGTCACCAGCCTGATGGGTTCTGGTGATCCTCGCTGAAATTTGGGAGAACGCTGCCGGCGAAGGGAAGGAGTGGTTGAGCAAAGTTTGGACAGAAGGAAGCGAAGGGAGGGCGGAAGATTTCGGAGACAGGAGGAGCAGCTCGTTCTCACCTACACGTGGGTGTCTTTAAAGAGGCAGCTTTTACGTTACGAGGGCTTAGAGCTGGGAACGCTGCTCCAGAGGGGAAAGAGCAGCCTCCGTGCTCTCCACAACTCCCTGACAAGGAGTTGCGCTCGATCTCCAAGGTCTCTTACAGCCAAAACTGTTCATTCTACGAGAAGAGGTTGTAGTGGGGTGGGTGCTGGTCTCCGCTCCCAAGTAACGAGTGATGGGATGAGAGGAAATGGCCTCAAGTTGCACCAGGGGAGGTTTGGATTGGATATTAGGAAAAACTTCTTTACTGAGAGAGTGGTGAGGTGGTGCAACAGGCTGCCCAGGGCAGGGCTGGAGTCCCCATCCCTGGAGGTGTCAAAAACTGTGTCGACCTGGCGCTGGGGATCATGGTTTAGTGGTCGTGGATGTGTTGGGTAGATCATGGGACTGGATGATCTTGGAGGTCTCTTCCAGCCTTAATGGTTCTGCAATTCAAAATGTTCCGCTTCCAGTGCCAGCTCTCCTTACTAATCACTGAGTCTTACTTGGATACGTATCTGTGTTTGAATTCGTGTTTGAAAATGTGATAAAAGCT